CCCCAAAACCCCAAAACCCCAAAACCCCTTCGATCGGAATTATTATGAGATAAGTAATTATACAATAATAATGAAAATTTATCGTAAATTATGTGATAAATAATACAGGTTTAATGGTACTTAATTGTAGGTGTTAGTTAATTGAAAATAATTTCTCATTTTCATGGGTTTAATAGTACTAAGTGGACATTTTAATTTGTTATTAGACTAAACAATCTTTTGAGGTGGCATACCCCAAAATTGAGCATCTTGTCTTTCTCAATGATTTAATGCAACTTCTGATCCTATTTTGAATCATAAAGTGAGAAAAAATGCTCCAGAAGTATAAGAAAGGCATTAACTCCAAATAATCTGATCAAATTTTACTCACAAAATGTGTAGAGTCCATTTTTGATTATTTTAATTATGAAATGGTCCATCTAGCATTTATGAGTAATTTTTGTCCTACTTGAATAGAACATTGCATTCAAAAATAGGATCATTTCCTCCTTTAGTTCTTCTTTTAGTGAAGAGTCTTTGCACTCCATAAAGTTAAAATTGAGTGAGTCAATGTAAGTGCTTAAACATTGATCTAGGAAATTATCATCCTATTTTTTCTTCAATCTCATATAATCTGTCTTTTTTTGAAAACTCTTAAGATAATAGAGTCTGATTTTCCTCAGGGTTGATTTTAAAAGAACGTCTAGTCTTTTATCCCCCATTAGAGTTTAAATCTCTCTTTTAAGAGTCTCTAATTAAGACTTTTGAGATTTGTCTAGAGTAAACGGCTTAAGTTTGCTGCTTTAATCTTCATTCTTCTTTTCCATTAAATATTTGAAAAATTTAGTATCGAAGTAATTAGAATCTTCTAGTTTTGTATCAAGCAATTACTCCTAGTGTCCTAAAATCTATGATTCTAATTGATTCCTTTTGATTTCTTGTTCTTTTGGCCATAAACATTATTCTTCTATTACTGATGCTCTAATTGAAATTTTATCATTCAACTTATTGTGAATGTCTTCAAATTTGCATAAAGTCTTTGCATCTAAGGACTGTCTTTGGAAATAATCAAAATCCAAAGCATTTGTGAATGTGTAATCCTTGTAAAGCTGAGAAAAATATGAATGAGTTATAGGTGAGACCGCAGGAGTTTAATTGCTTGTCAAATTTATTAAATTATAAGGATCTTTAAGATCGTTGGAGGTGAACAATTCATCTTCGATTCTCATGTTCACATCTATGATCTAGCATTCATTATCTGATTTTAGGAATTATGTAGGAGATACTGCATTCATATTTTGTTAGATTATTTCCTCTTATTGTTAATAATCGTAAAGATTTAAATGGAATCCGCGTAACATAGCGTTATCCTATGAGACTTCAAATAGACTATGATTCATTAAAATTTTAAATTATTAATTGATTAGGATCTACTAATATAATACTAATTAGAGATAGCAATATCATGCTTTACACCTAAATCTTGCATGTATAATATTTAATTTTCTCGTGGCTTTCTTTGAATTAGTCAGAGTATTTAAGCTTAAAAGAATCCCTATTTTATAACAAATCGCTCGATATAGTTTTTGAAGTGTAAAGAGAAAGAATTTAATTTAATATCTCTAAATAAATTTAGTTCAATTCCCGTTATTCTTCAAAAAAATATAAACTTTTATTGAAATTTCGTAATATATTTTAATTCCTGGTCGAAGGAAAAAATGCGAAAATACGGTTGAATAAATTCCCAGAATTATTAATTGAATTTATGATATAAGCATATATTAACTTCAAACTTTTAATTTAATAAAATAAAAAAAAAATGAGACTCGCATTTGAATCTGTCTCATAGACATAGAGGATTTTTACATTATAAGATTATTTAAAATCAAGTATAATATGGTTAAGATAATTCGCAATAATTCCAAAATAGCATGGCCAAATTGACTGATAATAAGAAGTATATATAATCCTAATTCTTATTAAACAATATGTAGAGATTATGCAATAGTCATTAAAACATGATGCATGCCAAATTTCTAAGTATAGTAAGTATTTCGTTTTAAAGATGACGACCTTAATATTTTATTTTCAATTTTTACCCTGAACTAAATTACACATTTTGACTCTCTTGGGGTTTTGGGGTTTTGGGGTTTTGGGG